AGTCGAGCCGGGGGCTCGGACTGCGAACGCGTTGGTAACGCAGCTCTGGTTACAGAGTGATATATCGTTCCAGAAATGGACTACATCAAATAGATGAGGCATAGCGAGCCGGCAGGGTGAGGGGGGCGGGCGAGCGTGCGGCTCTCCGACCGCGGTCTTCCATGAGGAGATGCGTGCCAGACTACCGGGCTGTAGATGGGTATCTGTCTGTTTTTGGAGAGCACTCGTTTGTTTGTCCGTCCGTTTGCACATCGAATTGGCCGAGAAAACACGGCTTCATCTAGGAAACGGAAGGACGCTGCTGGCTGTTGTCGTTGTTGAGGCGGCCAGGGGGACTTCCGACTTTGGCCTCGTGCCACAGAGAATGGGATTTCCAAGAAGAGTGTTCCGAAGTTGGCGGTCACCGGGAGGAGAACGCAAGTCTCATGTGGACGCCGATGTCGGAGTGAGACCTGGACGGAAAGCGGTCCGAGGGGCCCGGATGGTTGGACAGACGGACGTATGAACGGACGCAATGACGTACGCTGACTGGAATGACAGACGGACGAGTTGGCGGAAATCAGGAGACGGAACCGACCGAACTTGCCGTGCGGGCTTCTCGGTGGACTCGGACGTGACAGCCGAAGACGGAGCTCTCGTTCACAAGTGTCGGCACAAGCGAGCTCGCTTCTGCAAGCGAAAGTCTCCAAAAGATTTCCTACTTCTCTTCTTGCTCGAACAACCCCAACCCCTTCTCCCCAACCCCAGCCCCGTCGGACCGACCTCCAAGACGCCTGCCAGGCGACCCGCAAGACTGCCTGCCTGCCAGTTTGCCTGCAAGCCAGGCAACTTGCCTGCCCAAACCACGCCGAAGGGTTGCCAAACCACATGTGGCGAACCACACGCACTCCACCTTTAGTGGCAGGACCAGCAGCGGTTAGAGCTGTTCTAACGAGGAGCATTTCCACCAGCCTGTCCGACTTAGAATTGGACACCGGGTACCCTAACGTCTGAAAGCTCGTAGAACTTTCCTGTTAGTTTTGATCAAACGTCAGGAACTCTCGCCGAGCTCGTCTGGAGTAGAGAGGAGACCGACAGGACTTCACAGAACTGGAAAACAAGTTTAGTGCATAAGGGCTAGTCCCAACGATCTCCGTACGCTCCTCTATTGGGATAGGAAACACTCCCTGAGGAAGAAATCGATTCGAGCTCCAGGAATCGAATCATCAGGACGCGAGGTTCAGAAAGCTTGTCGTTTCTGAGCGTTTTCTGAAAGGATTTGGGTCCGACGCCGGTGCCCGGAGTCCCCAGGAGGCCTGATATTCCAAAATTCCAAAGAATGGAGTCACCAACGACCCACAACGATGTGGAGATCAGATGCCTCCTCTGACGGACGTGCGACGGAGAATTCCAAATTAAGTCACGGTACGGTCAGTCGATGATCACAAGCATCGACATCGGTACGCTGATCACGGTGACGGAGAGAGCTATCGGTCCAGCCGGGGGAAAACTTTGCACGGGTCGAGTTCGAGCAAAACCCGAGCAGAACCAACGGCAATATGGCATAGTTTCCAGTGATTTGCGTTGAAATTGCTTTAAACAACTCTAAAGCTTCCTGTCCCGACTTCGGTTCGAGCTCGCTTCAGTCCACGGTGCTACTCAATTAGCCAGCTAGTCCCTACCGATTCGCTCGGGGATATTCGGGCTGTGAGTGAAGTGTTATACAGTCAGGAAGTAGGCGGACGCCGAATGCAGGAGCGCTTGCCATAGTGATGCTTTAGCTAGCTAGATAAAAATAGAAACGAGTCCGCTGCTGTAGCCGCTGTTCTGTTCTCTGCGGATTGTTCTAGCCGTGATTGTCTTGGGGAGGCGTCTTTTCGGGAGCGGATTCCTTCGCTATCCTCCCGCTTCTCTTGTTGTTCTCGGTTGGCTGTCTCTTAGTTTTTTCCTCTCTTTCAAGCCCTATCTGTAAGAACAAATGAAGCTGGCACACATTTACTAATGGTCTATTAGGTTCTGGCTTGAGGCATCGCGTCTAGCGGAGTCATCCTTCATTTTCGTTACAATGCGTCCAGGATTGACGGCTGTTTTTATTCTTCATTCCGAGCGTAAAAACGCAAACTGGGTCGCTTGCGCTCGACGTCTGATCCGGTGCTCACGTTTGTGCTCCGTATTCCCCTAGCACCCCCTCTCCGCGCAGACCCCGCGAAGGACCGTTCCTGCAGAGGTCTCGCCACGGCCCTCGGCAATCGCTCCTCTACGGTAATGTTGGTCGACCTACGGTGCAGAATGAGCGGGTCGAGGCGGAGAAGCTACAGGAGGGGTGAATAGTAAGAAATGTTCCCACAAAACTAGCCCACACGAAATATGCGTCGTCGCTCTAATTGCCGGGAACGAGAACGTTCTCCATGCAAGGAATAGGAGGTGAGACTGCGCTCAAGCGAAGAATGAAAATATTTGTGGGTCGAAAGAGGCGTTTCCAGCGTTCGCGTGGCCGTCAGTGTGGGTGCGGTATTATTCTTCCTTCTCGACAGACATTCTAATAACAATAATAACAGATGCGTTCGCGCAGGCAGCGGCACCAGGTTCGCGGTTCGCTTGATCCACATGGGCCCCAAAGAATAAAGTCTCCAGTTGACTGTGTTGCAGTTCATACAGTCTCCTGAACCGGCAGTCAGGCAGTGTTGGAAGCGAACGGACGGACGGACGGGCGGGTCGGCGTGCGAGTCTCGGACCGACCGAGGGAATAATCGACTCCGAGGTCGGCTCCGTCGCTCAGCGCGAGGTCGGCGAGGAGCGATTCAGGACACGGTGTGGAAGAGGCCAGGGATAGGTCGAAGAGGACCGTCTTTGAAGTCAACAAACGTTCCAGGAGCCAGCCTGTCCGCCCGCCTGTCTCGGTCGGTATCGTCGCTCGGTCGGAAGAGCATCTCGGAGCGGAAGAAGAAGAAAGCCTTTGTGGAACCGGCGACGAGACAGTCTCCCTAAGCTGTCCAGCTCTGGTTCACACAAGGCCCGTGCCTATCAGGCCAAGAATGCCGCATGCTTTTGGGAGAGATTCCTTTCAGACGAAAAGGAGCGATCTTTAAACTCCTTTGAGCGGGCCATCAGTCTCGCTTTTTCTCTTCCAGTCTCCGTCTAGTAGCCGGCTGGATGACTGGCTGGCTGGTGGGTGAATGCCGACCGACACAGCGAGTGAACGAACGACCGAACGGCCGTCCGCTCGACTTTGCGACCCGCATGCTTGACGGGGAGCAGTGACGGCAACAGCAGCCGGGGCGGGCGGACGGGCGTGGGCGACGGCCACTCAAGGCGCGTCCAAGTGATCGGAACTTGTGTCGAAGTTTGGCGAGAAAGAAGCGACTGCGAACCGAGGAAAACTGGCGCGATCGCTTTTATTGGAGCGTCGATACTTGATATTTGGTCCGTGGTGGAGCTGAGTTTCGCACGCTCGATCACCCGCTCCCCCGACGAAGGGCTTGGGAACTAATTGCGTCCTGGCTCACTTGCCCACTTTTATGAAGACACTTCGCCCATTATTAACAGCCGGACACCAACACGGAAAACGTCCCATCGCTTGGCCGCCATCGCGGTTCTCTTCTTTTTTTCTTCACGCCGACGTTAACCCCTACAACCTCTCGAAATCGTTCACAGCAGACACTTTAGGACCAAGCGACCAGTCCGTTTCGTGAATTAACAACAGCAGCTTGGACGGACCGGGGCGTCCCTCCACAGTTCGGAGCTCGTGGGTCTACTTTTGAAGTGACAGGGAAACAACGGATCCCGATCCCGGATCTCTTGTTCATGACGTTCGAACGTGTCTGTTGGGTCTGTTTCTCAAGGAAGGAGATACTGCGTTTCAAAAAGGGCCCAAGGCTCTCGTAATTCTCTGAATTCGCTGGTATCTCAGCAAACGCAAGCTCTTTTGGGTGTATTTTCCTCGTCTTTCTTTGAATTAACGAGGCCCGGCCTTGAGGATCGTGACTGTTGTCGAAAGCGTTCGTTCTTTGCGTTTTCCTCCAAGAACAACAGTGAATGGAGGTGTTCCGCGAGCCGGACGCGGGGGTGATTATTGTGAAGCCCTGAGAAACGCTGAGCTTTTGTTCGCGAGAACCTCGTTCGACGGAACGCGAAGGCCTCGTTATGCGGCCATGACTACGGTCGACGACAACAGGAGTCTGACCGAAAGGAACACATACATACGTGGTGAGCCTCGACCTTCACCGTTCGGACTCTCCGGCATGGCGACCCACTTCCGTCCTTTTTTTCGTCGTCTCCTGTGAATTCTTCTTCTTCTTCATCGTCCCTTCTGGCTGGTCCGGAAACCATGGCTTGCGATGACTCTTCTGCGCAGAATGGTCGATTCGAGAGAAGTCCTCCGTTTTTTCTCGCGCTGCTTGAATTAGGCGTTGATTGCCTCCGGTTCGCAAATCAACTTTCGGTCCGACCGTCCGTCGAATACTCGCCCACTCATTCATTCCCCGGTTCTGCCTCCCGTTCGCTCGGTCGCTCCCAGGTTCGGCCCTCGGCTCCACATTTGTGCGCTACGGCCTACGACTCGGTCGGAACAAACAATATGTACGACGGTGGCGGCGGCGAGGCTCACGCAGCTGCTTGCCAGCTTGCCCTCCCGTTTGCCTGCGTCTCTGAGCATCGGTCGCTGCGAAGTCATCATTGGAAAGCCATTACCTCGTTTTTCTTTTCCGTAAACCACGCTCGTTCCCCGTGCACCGAATGACTGCGGGAACGTACCATCAGGCAAGGAGCGAAACGAGCTGTTCGTTCGACGATTATGACTCCGCCTGTCGCCTCGCGACTGCCTGATCGCCCGCTGACTGCGAAGGTTCGCACCGCGCGGAAAATCTCCATTGTTCGTTTGTCTGTTTGTTTCAGGTGAAGCTACAGCGCCGTTCACATCGAGCACAGTGCCGACGATTTTCGCCTCGACCGATGCGGACACGAACGCGATTCCATCCAAACTCGTCAAAACCTATCGACGGCTACCATCGTATTTCATCAAGATGACTCCACACTTCGATAATACGACCGACACAGATGTTACTGCCACCGTCGGCCGAGACGTTTTTCTGCCTTGCAGCGTGCGGCATCTGGGCGATCGTACAGTGAGTAAGCCCTTCATCATACAAGATATCACATTCTGGCGCAGAATAATGAGTACGGATGCGCAGCTATCCCTCGCCGCACTGTCACAACGACCTTGCACGGAGCTCTTACTTCCGATTAGGCCGTGCTTCCATCGGCGAGGGATACGTATGACTTCGTATATAGGTAGCTACCTCCGCCATCCGAGAATATGTACTTCTGCCTCGAAGTCCTGGTCGTCTGAAACGTCCAAAACGGTAGATCTGACTCGATGTCCGCGATCCGCGCTGATGCGACATTGAAACGTCGGATACGATTTCCTGATTAGATTCCAATCGTCAAAGCGACTCTGCCCCGTAGGTTTCCTGGATACGAAGACCCAGACAGGGGATTTTCAATGTCCTAGCAGTCGGTCGGTCACCGTACACGGCGGACGGGAAATTCCAGCCCATGCACCTTGATAATTCCGAATCGTGGAATCTCCAAATCAAGGACATCCGCCCTGAAGACGCTGGCGTTTACGAATGCCAAGTGAGCACAACGCCCAAAATCAGTCGCCACATCACTCTCTCCGTAATTGGTAAGTTCGAATCGGGAGAATGATAATAATCGTCCTCGTCCTGTCGTGGTGGCACATCACAAACCAGGATTTCTCCCAAGACTTCAAGCATTCGGGTAAGCTCCTGGATCTCTAGATTGTGGAACCTTCATTTCAGAGAGCCGGGCGAGGATTTTGGGCAGTCCCGTATTATACGTGAACCAAGGTGGCGTCTTGCGACTGGTCTGCGAGCTGAGTGGACCACTGACAGCGAAAGAATTCATATTTTGGTATAGGAACGGCAGAGTGCTCAACTACGATTCGGATTTGAGGAAGCGTATGGAGATCTCTTCGAACTCGTCGATATTCAAGAACGTCGTCGACAAAAGGAAGAATAACGAGCAGCAAACGCTCAGAAAAGTGAACGCCGACGGGAGCCCACAGTCGGAGCTGCTGTCATACGGTAACAAGTTGAAAAGTCGGCTTGTCGTCACAGCTATGGAGGCTTCCGATTCCGGAAATTATACCTGTCAGCCATCGAATGCACTCCCCGACTCGATTCAAGTTTTCGTGATAATCAACAGTGAGTAGGAATGCCGTCACTTGACCTTAGGATAGCGTAATCGGAGAACGATGGGATTGAATTGCACCGCACGTCAGAGCAGTCTGTTTTCCTCCTTCTATTTACAATCCTCGGACCGCAATTGTTTAAGGGTGCGGTCAAGGACGTATTAAAGATGATTGATTATAATTGAGTCAGCCATGGATCCCAGCATAATTTATCACGACCGCTCGTAAGCCTTGATAGCCGAGCGTCTCCGTGTCACGCCGACTTATATTCGAATGCCCTGCCAGAGCTCACTTCTCTGATTCGGGCAAGTCGATACTGTTGTCCTAAATTCTCTTCTCGAAGATTAGATTCTGTAGCGACAGCAGCAGGTTCGCGAGTAGTCGACTCGAACAGAACTCAGTCAGCGGGAATTCGGAGCTTGTCGTGACATTAACGAGGAGGATGTCAGCCGAAACACGGAGCTTTTGCCAATTTGTCTCAGGAGACAACTACCAGCCATTCGACAGCCGACTCTAATTGACTGATAACTCTCACCGTCCACAGATGACTTGCCCGCGGCGATGCAGGACAGCGTGATGGAGATCAGTGCGACCACAGGAAACAACGTTCTGTCTCATACGGCAGTCGCCTTCATGGCCACCGCTCTCCCTTCGCTATTGCATTACTTTTTCGGCGTCAGATAATTCTCGGAACCGAGAGAATCGGATCCGGGAGCCTCCGGGCTGGGTCCGCCCAAGTGCTTCGACTTGTGATAGGAGTTCATCATGATTCGGATGATTCTGTTCGGACGGAACGTTTCAAGTTTTTCTCTCCGGTAGACACTCATCCGTTAGACATCACCCATTCCATTCGAGGAATCATCTTAGACTAATACTGTACATATAATACTTGATACCGAAATTCCTAGATCTCTATTCGCTGTAGGGGTTTCTGCGAGCTCCGCGGACAGCTCGAGTGAGACTACCTAATTGATTATCTATTTTCAACGACGACTATTGATATGCCGAGTCGGAATGCTCCCGAGGACTAGATAAGGGAGGAAACTCATAATCGATGGGAGCGCTCGCTCAGACGTCGAGAATCAGTCCGTGGCATCGAGCGATTGTGTTTCTCCATATTTTTCTTGATTGGCTGTTCCCAGACTACTTTTTATGCCTCGCGGATCAAGAATCCAGCCATGGGCTCCGACGGTCCTATTGAATTCGACGCTCCGCCTCAAGAGGAGCAGAGAGGGAGACACTGAAGTTTCGGAGCGAGGGAATGGAAATAGGGTTCGCAAGAAAGACGGAGGAGCTCAAGCAACTATCCATCCTACCAACCGACCGACCAAGCGGCAAGGACGCAACGAACGCTGAGACCGAACAGATATTTGGTCGCCGTCATTCGCCACGTGAGACCGCGTATCAGCAAGAGCAGCAGAGTTGGTTCGCGTACGCATCGAGTAGCAGCGTGAGTAAATATCGACAGCTGCAACAGCCTAGAAGCCTAATAGATTCGAGGGCAGCCAGGCGCTTGCTTGCGAGCCTGGCAACGCCGATGGCCAACCGGCTATTCTAACGACGGCACTGTCGACGGTGCGACCGAGTTGCTGGTCGCAAGCTAAGCACCGGGCTAGCTTGTCGATCTGCTCGATGACGCAACGACTGGGAGTTTTAATCGAATATTCACCAAGTTACCTCGAGGTCCCGAGCCGCCTCGTCGGTGTAGGCGGTCGTCAGGTGCTGTTTCAAAATAGTTTCAACCATATTCCGGTACACGGAACCAAACCCCTTATCAACCATATTCCGGTACACGGACCTCATTCCGAGATTCGCGAGAGCTCGAAGTTTTTACGTCTGATATCGATTCGGCGTCCTCGTTGAGAGTCCGAGAATCAAAGATTTTAATGGAAGGATTCGATGCGGGAACTGTGTGCGGAGCCGCTCGCACGGAGATACGGGACGCCAGAGAATCCAGACAAAAGACAAACAATACACCGGAGATTCTTGTTTATACAGACAGAGAGTAGTTTTTTCTTCGCACTAGCTAGCCAACTACTAGACGACCGGCGAATCATTGTATGATTGTATGAACAAGGCAATAACGCTTCGCAAGCCAACGAACTATGGACAAAACATCATTATCGTTTCTGATCGAGACACTGTTCTTCCATTTGACGTGATTCGTTACGAGCAGAACCAGTAGCCGCAGCCGTTGCCATCGTCGTCGTTGAAAGAACAACGGCCTCAACATCGTCGACGACGTCGGCGGCGACAGGGAAAAAGGAGAAATATTATAGATGAGGCAGATGAACAAAAAGATGACGATGATGTTTATCGTAGAAAAAGTGATCCCTGCCATTGAGTTGGCAGTACCAGCAGAAGCGAATGTATTGTTGCAGGCGGGAGCGGTGACGTCGACCGACCGCTTTTTCGGCACAGGAGGCGACAAACGAACGATATTGTCAATGGTCGAACGGCATTGACAGCTTCGTTCAGTCAGTACGTGAATCAACAGATAGTTTGCCGAAACGGAGCGGATTGGCGCCGCGAACTGTAGATCTCATGTAAATATATACATACATAAAATAATGATGATAAGTATAAGTGGGAATTTGTATTCGAGCGTATCTAGCGAGTCAGTGACACTGCGTCTCCCGAGCATGTGTAGACTCAAGAATAGATTGAACTCGACCGACAAGATCACTGTTCATTTTGAGAAATAGATGAGTCGATGTCAAAGGGAAGAGGAAGCTCAATAAAGCATTCGTCGAATCTGTTTTCGACATGCGTGCTCATTTTGGGGGAGGGCGAGAGCGGTCAGGAGAAACGAAATCTGCGATCGGTCTAGATCCTAACTAATCGATCGGTCTAGCTAAAATCTGTGATTGTCAACGGCTGCGCTGGATTTTCAAACCAGGGAAAGGATCGCCCGTCGCCGAATGAAAGACGGGGCAACTCCCGCTCTGGCATGAGCTGATCTGGAATCCGCGGGAAGATGCCCCGGATCCGGTGATCCCGAGCCCCGGATCGAGTTCAGTTTAGTTCCAGGGAAACAATTTAGAGTCCGACGAGATTTATGAATAGACAGACAAACGCGCAATGGGGGAACGCAAACATCGCGCCGGCCGCTGAGGATCCGACAAGCCGCTTGGTCGCTCATGCGTCTGAGCTCCGACGCTCGTCGGCTGCCCGTCCGGCTCGTTTTTCCGGCTCTCGGTTGACGATACTAGCTGGTGTCCTCAACGGAGGGTCGTCCTCAGGGCTGTTGCAGCGGGCGCACAGCTCGCTGCTATTTCTGTTTGTTTACCGAGTCCTTATAGCGTTTCCGGTGCGTGTCAGCCGGTAGATGTAGAACGAAGGGACGAGAGCGACATAGGCTGTCTAAGTGGCAATCCACGACCCGAGTACTCCGTCTCCATCATGAGAGACAAAAATCCCGAATTGGTAGTGCTAAAGCACTACCGAAGGTAGGGCGTGAAAACGTCCAAACTCATACAACACACACTAGGCAAACTATCGAATAAAGGTGCTCATGAATGTGTAAACTCGCGAAGAAAAAATCATATTTATGAGGTTTCTGTGAGCACGAAAAGTTCCTCGAACTCAAGGCTGCACCCATCGACCTTGAACCATTGACGAAGTCTTTCAGCGTCGGCGTCACCTGCCGCCTCACGGATGATCGTGTTTGTCGTTGTCGACAATTGCCTCGTCCCGTTGTAATCTCGTACTTGAAGGTTTTGTAAGATAACTGCCTCGCCTTCTTTCCCATCTAATTTGCCGACAAACTCTGACCAGAGTCCAAGATTCACCATTTTCATACTATCGTCGAGAACCGTCACCGTTTGCTTTACACGATTGATCCCATCCCGACAATTGAATGTTTGGGGTGGTCTCACGTCGAATACAACCACGAGGATATCGACCGTCGTGTTCACGGGCTTTGTGAGCAGCTCCATCAGAACCGTCGTTTGCGCCTGAATCTTTGGAAGATCGTTTCCCGTGATTGGTATGACTTTACTTAGCTTAAAATAGAGATATTTCTTGAATCCCTCATTTTCTATTAGCGTATGAAAATTTTCGTTCCACAAGCCATAATTTCTTCTGACTAATGTTATGTTGAATACCTTCGTAAGCTGGAGTTCGCATTCATGGTCAGTCGCTCGGTATTGGGGATTCACAGCTTTGACCTTGTATGCATTTATCTTGTAGCATTGTCCAACCGTGATCATATCAAAAATCTCCTCCGCAGAATCCCCTGACGCGATCACATTTATCTCACCGCTTGTGTCGCTCATCACGAAATTGAAGATTTTTCCACTGCCATCCCCCTTGGACCAATGTTTCACTGGCGTCTTGGATTTGACGCGCCCTTCGACCTGGCCGCATCCCTTACCTAGTCGGATTTCGTGGAGCAGTTTTGATTTCTTCTCCGGGGGAGCATGGATTCCAGCGGAACCTTCGGACGTGCTCGGTTCGCCACGATCATTCTCCGCCCGATCCGCTGTTGATAAATACATAAAATGATGGTAAAAACCATAAGCTACGTGGTCATCATCACTCCCCGGAATCCGCAATCTTGCGAATTGGACTCGCCTTGTCTCTTTCTCGGGGCGGCCGTATGTCTCGAACTCGGCTTTGACATTGGGGGATGCTTTCGGTTTACACCGTGACTTTTCGCTCAAAGATTGCTTTTCGTTGTTTGAGACTCGAAAACAATTTGCTGGGGTTCTGGATTCTTTATATACCTTCTGGCGCCACGGATATATATTTCACGTAGAAATGATCACACCTCGGCCAATATATGTTCATGGTCTCTCTTTAGTCTTCCATATGTCTTCCTCGTGTTTTTTTCATTCTATTTCGGTCCCATGTGTTTAATGTTTCCTGAATTCCCGCTGTGTGGTTGTCTCTCTGTGTGTGCGGTCGATTTTTGCTCTGTCATCGTTCGTATCCCGTATCAATCCCGTACGCGCTTCTCGTTTACTGGGGTATATATTGTATCTTGTTGAATACGGGACGATGATACGGGAAGTAGGATACGCATGCTCTGCATGATATCGGAAGGTGTTTAGCAAATGTCAGATCGAGGCATGTCCCTCTCAGAGTGGTCTTTTTTTGCCTTCAAACCGTGGTGTGTTTCATGGAATACCTCCAATTTTTTCCGGTTATATATATAATCGACAATATTTTATGGAGAGCTAATTTATGACAATATATCGGCCGGATAGTTTATTCCGCGGCATAGGCCACAACGACTTCCATATCAGTCAGTGTCTTTGTCAGCCTGTGCGGCCCCTCGAAACTGACTAAATCTTCCGCCGACCGACATATGTAGCAGTGACCGCAGTATCCAATGAGGGATCTCATATATTTCTCAAAGTTGGTGACACTGACGCTGCGTCGCCGTCTCCCTTCCCGGGAGACTATGATTATCGTCAGGTTCCTGGTAATCGAATCTGCGTCGTCGTGACCTTCCGTGATATGTTGCACAGTTTTCGCGCCTCCACTCTGCTCGTGTGTGACTACGACAGGAACGCTGGTGATAGATATGATCGTGCTGTGCCTTTGAATCGCTTCAGCTTTTTCCATTGCGGACCATGTCTGCTCTCTGTCACTCCAAAGATGCAGGATCACTGGCGTCCCGTACGGCTTCTGCGCGATATGGTCTGGTCTTCGACGGGTTCGCAAATACAATGGAGCTT